CTCCGCACAAACTACTTCACACAAGACAGCAAATTATACTCAACAAATTATAACATCAAAACAGGGAACAAAAGACATTAAGTGAATCAGAATAAAACAAGTATAAACAATTCAACTAAAAACAAACCTTCAAGTCACGTAGCTCTATGATTATAGTACATTTTATGAAAAGAAATTTAATGGATAAGGTTGTTTATATTTGTTATTTTCGACAAGTCTTAAAATGAGATCATGACCAACAATATCTTGCTCGGTTTCTTGGTTCTTTCCAACAACTCTACCGTCTCTGTGGCACCAAGTCCCAAGCCTGTTGGTTTCTACTGAACTTGTAAATCTTTAAAAAGCAGTCACAGATACATCGATCAGCCAAAACATTAAAACCACTGACAGGTCAAATGAATAACATTGATTATCTTGTTACAGTGCAATGTTCTGATGAGAGACCTTAGGTCCTGGCATATATGTGGATGTTACTTGACGCGCTCCACTCATCCAAACATGGTTGCAGTTCGAGCAAACCCTCTCACAGCAACAACACTCCCTATGGCAGTGGCCCCCCAGCAGGACAATACGCCATGCCACACCACAAAAACTGCTCAGGAATGGCCCAAGTAACGTGACAAAGAGCTCAAGGCACTGACATGGCCTCCAAATTCCCAAGTACCCCATGCGACTGAGCATCTGTGGGACGTGCCATTACCCCAGACGTACTGCCCATCCACGGTGGGGCCTCTATAGATTGGACATAGCTCTGACATGTCAAGGTATGGACACAGGAAGTCAGGGGATGCCTTGTGGTGTCTGGCACCAGGGTCTTCACGGCAGATCCTTCGAGTCCGGTGGGTTGCGAGATGATGTACCAGCATGTCCCAAGGATGCTCGATCAGATTTGGATCTTGGGAATTTGGAGGCCAGGTCGAGGCCTTAAGCTCTTTGTCAAATTTCACGGACCATTTCTGAGCAGTTTTTGCGGTGTGGCATGGCACATTGTCCTGCTGGGGAGCGACTGCCAGTGGGTAGTGCTGTTGCCATGAGGTTTACTTGGTCTGCAGTGGTGATTGAGTGGGTGGTGCATGTCAAGTGGCATCTACATGAATGCTAGGACCCCAAGTTTCCCAGCAGAACATTGCATTGTAACAAGATGATCAATGTTGTTTACTTACTTGTTATTTAATGTTTTGACTGGTTGGTGTACGTTCAAGTCTTCTCAGTATTTTCCTAAAAAAGTTGGGTACTGTGGTTTTTAACAAACATTACTCAAACAGAGGTAAAAAGTGCATTTGTTGAGGACTATTTTCAGCTGTGGATTATTACACATTTGCATTTACAGCAGCAGAATGGTGTGTGAGGGATTTTCTCAAAAATAAACTTCAGTGCGCCTGTGTTCATTGTTATGAAGACACCTGTCACATAGTGAAACAGTGACTCATTTATGCAATTTAAATAGCTTTTTATACAACAATGGAGGCTTAATGCACAGAGGAATAAACTTTATCAGGCTTTGGGCTGATCTTCTTTTCATTGTGTTTGTTCATAATTACATAATTATAGAATATCACCAGCTTCATCCAACATATTTATATGTACTGTTGTCCATTTGCAGTCATTCAGGAGTGAAAGTGGTGGTTACAGTAACTCGGTGGCTTCGACATCTCCTGCAGTATTCCAACACAGTGCACCAGTATGTACCCTTTTTTAAAATTTAGTCTTTAATCAATACTTTCAATTGCTGTTTATTGTCATATTTCGATTGCTTGTTGTGTGGAAGCTCATTTCTGGTAGGAAAGACATTGATAAAAAGTAATGCATGACAAAAAATACCAAACTCATGGTCAGTCTGAATTATGAGAAAAATGAAAATGTTGACTTAGTCAAAATTATGATATACCATATTAAATTAGGAGATAATTTAAAATGTTGAGGCACAGTTGAGTGAAAACTTTGAATCTTTGAGTGTGACTTTTTATGCATTTTTATCTTTCTTGACGGGAATGGGCTTCCATACTTCTTGTCTTAATATGAAAAGCAAAGTTTTTATAGAAATTATTTGACTATCAGGATGCTGTTTGTCACAGGGGGAAGAGCTGCAGCTGGTCAGGGAAGCACTGCGTAGCCTGAGGGACAGCTTTTCTGGCCATGACCCCCAACATCACACCCTGGACACCTTGGAGCAGGGTGTGGCCAGCCTCATGGACAGATTGCACACTTTGGACAGCCAGCGCAGACAGGACAGAGGGGTATACACACAAGCGCACACACACACACACACACACACACACAGAGCATTTCAGAGTAAATCTTAAGAAGTAGCAACACATCTGTCACCTGATGAGTGAGTCAACAACAAATGGCATTCAGCTGTTTACCATGAGCAATTGGTTCTTCTTCCAGGAGGAATTTAAATCACCGGGACGCAGAGCCAACTCGACAGACCGTGACTCCTGGCCGCAAAGCTCAAGTAAGACAAACAAAATCCTTGTTTTGTTTAGGATGTGCCATCCTCTGCAACATCTCAACTCTGCCTGTTAAATCTAATTGTGCAATTACACAGCTATGTATGGAGAGGGTTCTTACTGGCTGCGAGACCAGAGCCATTTTAGACTCTAGTTGCTAAAAACAGTGTTTGTTATTTTTTGTCATTAATTCCAGAAATGGCCCACTCACACAGCAGCCCAGGACTGGACACCGCCGTTTCCACTAAAGTGCTCTACTTCACTGATCGCTCGCTCACTCCATTTCTGATTAACATCCCAAAAAGGTGAAAATGAAAACACTTTATATAACAGTGTTGCTGTCCCATCACTGTAGTGTGCATTCATTTTAAGCTAACAGCTGTTTAGGTTAGCGCTACACGCTGAGGACACATCTTGATGCAGGCATGACCTGAGCTACATGTAGCTGCTTAGTATTTATGTTGGTTAAATGTTTATCTTAGAGAGTATCTATGTGGGTGTTTGTGTGCATAGATCATGACTGACAGTGTGCTCCCACAGGCTGGGTGAGGTGACACTGCGAGACTTCAAGGCCGCTGTGGACAGACAGGGCAGTTTCAGATACCACTTCAAGGCCCTCGACCCAGAGTTTGGCACAGTGAAAGAGGAGGTAGGCGTGGGAGCAAAATTATAGCCCCTACTTCTTTTCACATCAGCTTCAGCAGGCAAACATAAAATGGCAGTTGTGGAGTGAGATATGCTAATAATAGCTATGGCTGTGCTGTACTTCAAAACACTGCAGGATAACTGAGCAGTCATTTTCACTTTCCATCCAGACCTTTATACGTTATACATGTGAGTATCTCTCAGATATGTAAATGCTGGTTGTTGGATGTTCAGGTATTCCAGGACGGAGCAGTCGTGCCTGGCTGGGAGGGGAAGATTGTAGCGTGGGTAGAGGAGGACCACGGAGAAAGGAGGTAGAGCCCAAAAAAAACGACAGATCACCACTACAAACCTCAGTTGTTCCCACTGGACCAGGATTTCACTGAAAATACTTGTGATGCCATAAATCGAGACACCCCAGGTGACATAGATGCACTGGTCAATTTTGAGATTTTGGGCTTTTTTGATTTCATGTCTTATTTCAGACTAGTGGAAAGAAAACATCCCAAAAAATGTATTAGTTCGATTTCTATTCTGTGATGTATGCAAAAAGCACATATTTAATTAGATCATGTCTAATTTGCATATTTAAACATACAAATTCAGAAAACTGGTCGTACAAAAAAAATAATTGTCTTAATGTAAGAAAACGGGAAGTTTCATGGTGATATCTATTATTTAAATTTTCACCCTGGTGTCGTGTCTTTGTTTAAAAATGTATGGAATTTTAAATACATATCTTTAAAGGCCATTTTCTCAAAAGGAGTTTTTCTCATACTCTGAGCCAAAAACTCTTAACCTCAGTCGTACTTACATACACCAAAGTTTCCTGTTTTGTTCCTCTCTATATTATTTAAGGTTTTAACAGAGGGGGGTTATTAATATATCATTCATAGCCTGATTGATAGAACATTTTATTCCTAAAAACAGGGTGATAGTAGATTTTTTTAATGGCTGTTGACAGTGTTTTCAGATTTATGGATGGATAAAAAGAATTCCCTCTGTAAAAACCTTTGACTTTAAAAGGAAAAAATGGATTTTGAAGCTGGCTTTATCCAATGTTGAGGTTTTTGTACTGGAAATGTACACATATCAATGAATATTTAATTACGTAATGCCTCATTTGCATAATAACATTTCAGAACTTGTATTAAAAGAGATAATTGTCTTACTGTAAGTAATCAGCTGGGGAGGTTTCATGGTGATGAGTTGAAAATGTTCACCTGGGGTGTCTCCCTGTAATAGAGAAAAGTTATAATACAGCTAACTGGGACCAATGGATCTTACATTGTTTCGATACAAAACCATGTTTTAAAAGTGAATGTTTCATAAGAAGAATCTGACTTGACATTTGGGTGCCGCATTATCTTTAAGGGATGGATATTAGACATTGTTTGCAGCTCATGAATTAATATGTGCGACTGCCAATTAATGGTCAGTAATGTGATACTTGAAACTGAAATATAAAATAAAGCCAACATGATTTACGATGAATAACCCGAACTGTGCTCCATAAAGCTGTAATCCGTGCATAGTATGCAAACCTTAAAATAAAAGTGTTTACTGACATTTTTCACACGTTCCAGATTGCCAAACAGTGATGTTGTTGTTCTGCATCAATTTTGATGTTTTAATAAACATGAATTATTGCATGGATCATTTTGTTCTCAATTATTCCCCGGGCTGACAGTAATGACACTGTACTCCAGCTCGGAGCCATTATACACCTCCACTCGTACACCCACACATTAATAACAAAACACAGATTGTTATTAAAGTCAGTTAATTTTTGGGGGGTTAAGAATTATATTTGCTGCTGCAGATCAGCCCACACAGCACAAAGGGACACAGTGGCACATTTGTCTCAGTAAAAATATTATTTTTGATTAGGGAGCAGATCAGTTTACAGGGGAGCTGTTTATTGTTTGTTAGCTGGAAGTCCCTGCATAGCATAATGTGCTCACAAGGCTTTTCAGATTGCATAGCAGGAATTTAGTTTGTTTTGGTTGTTTACTTTGAGGTATCCTCCGTGTCAGAGTTTACTCCGAGCTTTACGGTTTCTTCAGCTCGTTCCCAGCTTGACTGTTCACCTCTCTGTGCATTTGTGTCTCCATCAAGGCAAATTGTCAGAAAACATCCACTCTCAAAGTCAGCCTCCGTTTCTTCTTGTTAAAAATGGCAGACGCAGTATCTTCGATCACAGTTTTGGGGAATTCCAGAAGTAAATAGTAGACATCCTCCACTTCCAGTAAGATGTCGTCCTGTGGAGAAAAATACATTCAGCACACTGTTTGACTTAGCCAATTATATATTTTCCTCATGACATCCAACTTTACACTGACACACTTTGGATCCTAAAGTGGTTCATTATAACTGTTCAAGGGAGTGTGTAACCACTAACCTTGGAGATTCTCAGCTGGCATTCTGACACGGAGCAAACCTTTGGCAGCTCCACTGTCAGCTCCATGCTGCGAGCAACTCCTTCTGTATCGGTCTTCACCTCGAGTTGGTACTCTGGCTTCTGAGGCTGCACAAATGTAGTGGAGATGACCTGGATCAAATCCTTCTTTTTGTGCTCCGCAGGTCTGCAGATAATTTGAGCTGCCGGGTCCTCGTGTTGTTTCTCTGAGCGTAGAGAGGAGATCTGCTGCAGAAGGGCAGCTGGGGTCTGACTGGCTGTAAAAAGAAACACTATGGATTATTAGAAACTGCTGTAGAAGGTGAAAGACGATTCACTTGCAGCAGCAAAGAAAAATACAGAGGGCTTGTAGCAGCTTACTGGGGTATGAGACTTATTGCTCTACCTGTGCCTACTTGTTTGGAGGTGTTAGACCACTGTTGAAACCCAAGCCGGCGGTACAAGTCCTCTAGGCTACTTTTTGGGCCACAGCTGACGACAGTATACCGCTGAGATAACGTCATCCCATACTGCCGCTGGGCAAAGCTCAAGGCCAGTGTATACACCTCTGTTTTGTCTTTGATACTTTCTTGCAGCACGGCAGGGTTTAATGCCACATCCAACACAGTGTACACGCCTGCAAAGGAAAGTAATCAATTTATGAGCTTCCTTGTTTACATCATGTAACAGTTGTGGTTGTGATGCAGTACAGCTTTGTCTTTTACCTCGACCTTCATCTGTGTCTGTTTCCAGTTTTCCTGCACACACAGGTAAAGGCCTGCTGGGATCCTGAGGTGCAGGCACACGTTTCCAGCTGCATATGCTGATGTACAATGACCCTTTCTTGGGCTCCTGTTGAGGACACAGATGTCTGTCATTAAAAAAGTAAAATCACACCCTATGTCTAATCTATAAACACACACTGCTGTGGCAGCTTTTGTATTTGGCAGTTAGTCAATGAAGTGATTAGTCCACCAACAGAAAATAAATTCGATTTTAGCTTTTCAAAAGTGAATATTTTCTGTTTTCAGTCTTATATGACAGCAAACTGAATCTATTTGTTGGGCGTTCGACTGTCGGCTGGACAGAACAAGACATTTAAAGACATTGCAGTGGGCTTTGGGAGCTTGTGATGTTTGTTTCTCACATTTTATAGACCAAACAAATAATCGATAGAATAATGAAGAGGTCAATAAATACTGATCAGTTGCAGCTGTGGTAGACAGACAGGCAGGTGGAACTCAGATCTACCTGATAGACCTTTGTCACAGTGGACTTATTCCCTTAATAAAAAAAGGTGTGTACATTTATTTTATCATCAATAATGGCTGCATTTAATTTTGTGTCACCAAACTCTGTGACCCTTCAGACTCTGTGTCTTTATCCCATTTTTTTGATAGCAGCATGTCGCCTTCAATGTATTTTGATAAGAGTAAGACATATTGATGTAACCTGTCAGATCCTGTAATGCTAGAGGATAAACCACATGAAAAATATCAGAGGGTTAGTGTTCTGTACACAGACCTATACACTACAATTTCTGCTGACACAGCTATCAAAAACGGTTACCCTCTATGTACCTTTTATTTAATCTTAATAGCTAAATTGTGACCCAATCAAAACACAATAAAGGAACACACCTGTGTTGAGCAACGGGGTCAATATTAATGAGACACACCTGTGCTTTCCCTGCTGTGACACGAAGTATTTCCTGTGAGAAATCTATTATGCAGGCTTGACAGCTAAAGTTAACTGGTTACCATTTCTTATTAAGTTGCTACCTCTGATGTAGGCTAACTTACCAGTATTTCAGTGCACAAGCAGGAGTGGAGCTCAGGCGGTGACCTGAACGCAGCACCGTCCTTCATCTGTTTCTCCATGAAGCTACGGTAAGCTGCTGGGTCATTTTCAGAAAGCTCATCCAACATGGACCAGAACTGGTTGACCTGCTGTAAAACATCCCCTGTACTGCCGGTGGAGGACATCTTCGGGTGACTGTCTTAGTTTGGAGTTAGCAAACTAACGTTAACGCTAGCAAGGCACTAGCTAGTTAATGCTGGCTGTCTGATATTAAACCGAAAGCTGAAGTTTGTGAGTTAAAGTTAGAAAAATGAGTTTGTCTGCAGTGTTAAATGAGTTTAAAAAGACTCTATAAACATGAAAATATGCAAAAAGCGTAACAAAACTATTCCTGTGTTTACTACAGCCTAATATCTCTAATGCTAGTTTAGCTAATGTCAGTTTAGCTAGTGTTGTCAGTTGCTATGGAAACAAGATGAGAGGAGACGTCACATAGACGCCATCTGGTGGTGAACAGCAGAGCTGCAGCTGAATAATCACACCGGACACAGGTTTATAAGAGCCATAATTTATATTCAATACATGGAAAATATAACGTAAAAATGCATTTTGATGTATCCAGTCTGTCTTTATGTGTACATGATACAACGGACATTGAAAGTAAAAATATCAACTATGATTCTCAGATGTCTCAAACAGTAATATCAGTAGCATCCTCTGCTTCTTGTTCTTCACGAGCTTTTCTTCAGTAATTCTGTAAAAGAGAAACAGACATGACTAGCATTGAAAACTAGCTTTTTAAGCTAATTCGAGTGCATTTACATGTGTGTTTTTTTGTACACAATGTTTATTAATGTGCATTGTCCCTTTCAAATAAACTAAACTAAACTAAACTAGCATTAGTAAAAAACATGATTATGGTATTGCAAGGAATTTATTAGGACTCAAGTGAAAATAGGAATGTAAAAATACCCAATTATAAGTACAAATCCTGCATTTAAAGAGTTAAATTCCTAACAGAAGCATTATTAAATTCTTACCTATCCTACTCTTGCATTATTTAGCACACTTGTAGTATGATGCGCATATAGTTGTACATATTTCATATATTTCTTATAGTCATATTTGTATATACTTATACCTATATTTCTATCATAACATGTCTTTCTTATATCTTTTATAATTATATGCATATATTGTGTAATATATTATGGCATAAGGCATTTTTTTTCTTGATATTTCTTATTCCAGTGCTATTTCAGAGCATAAGAGCAATAGCAGCATCTCCCAATTATTTCCCCCCAGGCATCAATAAGGTATTCTGAATCTGAATTATCAGCAAATCAAAATCAAAATTAAAGTTCTCATGATCCCGGAGGTGATTATTTTTATTACTGGTGTATTACTTTGTGTAAGCATCATATTAATGTTGATTGAGGTGTAGCTAATTTTAAAGACTTTACATACTTTCGGGTGCTTTGGAACTGCAAAAATTAGTCTATTAATTGATTAGCTGATTAAAAAAAAAACTAATCTGCAACTATTTTGATAACGATTAATTTTTTTAGTCATTTTTCAAACAAAAATGTCAAACGTGCTAGTTCCAGCTTCTCAAATGAATGGATTTACTTTGAATGTGTGTCTTATAAGATGTTTTTTGTTTGTTTGTTTGATTGGATTTTTTTTCACCTTTTTTGGGGTAATTTTTGGGACCAATCAGTTCCTTTAAAAAATAATCTGCAGATTAATCCTTAATGAAAATAGTCATTAGTTGCAGCCCCACTCTAGTCTAGTCCATAATGCGTCATATTTTATAACGTGATTCTACGATATTTCCCTTTAAAAATGTGGTTGGGGTAGAAGTATAAAGTAGCATCAAATGGAAATATTCAGATAAAACACTGTAAAATGCTAATACTTTATGCCACAGAATTTCTACAAAGTCTGTTTACTTCAATCATGTCGTAGATCCAGCCCAAGAATTCAGCCACTTTGGTGTAAACCCCTGGATGGTTTGGCTCAGCACAGCCTGTCCCCCAGCTGACTACCCCCACCAGCCTCCACACATTGTCATCCTGGCAAACCAGAGGGCCCCCGCTGTCCCCCTGGAGAGGTAGACACAAACAGTGTTCATTACAGACTCACCCGGCCTTCATTATGTCAACGTTTCACCGCTAACAAGTCACACAAGAGAGGATGAATTTCTAAAATGCCTCTGCAAGGTACTCTTCAAAACATGCATCTGACCTGACATGCATCCACTTTTCCCTCGGTGTATCCGGCGCAAAGCATCCTTGGTGTGATCTCTCCATTGTACATGCAGGAGCTGTTACACTTCTTTGTGCTTATTATGGGAACTGGCGCCTCTTTCAGGGTGTCAGGTGAGTGGACTGCGCGAGAAGACACACATTTAATGCTGTTCTGTCAATACACTTGGTACACTCTGCCATCATGTGTGAATTAGACCTGCAATAGATGCAAATTAGTTTGAGAGCAGTGCAGTAGCGTCTTACCACCATCAGGCTGTGTGTATCCCCATCCAGAGATCCAGCACTGTGTACCTCCTGGAAGATCATAGTCGTACTGAGGCAAGCAGACAGGCCTAATTGTATCTAGTTAAAGAGGAAATTTACATAATAATTCAGTTGGAACATGAAAACTTGGTTAAAATTATGATTTTTCATTCAGATAATTTTTATAGTTATTAAGGCTTTTTTTCCCCACGCTGTTTGAGTGACGTACACACGCTACATTATTCTCTGTATAGTGGTTTTGTCTTGTGAAGGGCTCCCTCAGGTTTACCTTGTATACTGTGAATATGTTTGGATCTTTAAACTTTGTTGAGGTTGTGGTCGCAGAGAGGATTTCTGTTACGGTGCAACATGGGTTTGTATTCATTTGATTAAAAGTGTTTATCAAAGTTTATTATAGTTAGAAAAGTAAGAAGACTCCATACACCTGGCAATGATCACTTATGATCACCATGTTTTTTAAAGGAGGAGGATCCCACTTTTGTGGTGGTTTGATGCAGAGGTATTACAGTTTTGTATTTTTTTATTAGATTTTTATTTTTATTCATTGGGGCGGCAGTAGCTCAGTCCATAGGGACTTGGGTTGGGAACCGGAGGGTCGCCTGTTCAAGTCCCCGTCCGGACCAAATATGGAGCATGGACTGGTGGCTGGAGAGATGCCAGTCAGTCACAGTCATGTAGACATCCCAGCCTCTACACTCTAAAAGATGATTCATATTAATTGTGGATAATGCTTGAAACAGAGTTTTTCAGCATAAAAAAATATGTTTGTGACATTAAAGTTGATAACTTGTTTTAAGAGGCTGGTCAAAATCAAAATCATTTTTCAAATGTTTGAGAAGGATTTAATTGAAATAAATAAGTTAGAATGTATTAAATAAAATAATTTGACCCATAAATATCACCACAACTTTTGGATAAATATTAAGTTGGTTCAACCTAATTTAGTTTTTTGACGTCCAACCAAATCATGTTGGTCGGACTAAACTAATTGAATTTTTAGGATTATAAAAGACTCATAGGATTGACTCAAAAAATGCCAGAGTTGGAACTTAAAAAGAGGCATGCAGATTGTTACCTTAAGTTTTTAAAGATGAACCAGTGGGTTATTTCTTATAGTGTATAAACATACACCAGTGCACCAATATGCACCAATACTTCATGCCTGTTGTGTTTACAGATTGGACCAAATTGACAAAAACATAAAGACATTTCCTGTATATTTTTTTCTAATTTTATTTTAGTGAATTTTGTAAAAGCACAATATTGTTTCAATTAGATTTTAAGTCCAGTTTTTAATTTTATTTTAGTTAACCATATGTGTTCACACCTAGTTTTTAGTTTAGAGTTACTTAACTGTAATAACCTTGGGCTGATGAAGACGTATTTGCTAAAATGCGTCAGCCTAACAAAATAAAACAGTAAACCAAGGCCATAGTATTGACATTTTGTTATCTTTCGGATCCCTGCTATTTCTTTTGTGTGCAAAGCTTGCAAGAAGTCCCCCGCACTGACCTGAGAAATTCAGAGGGGTCCGCAGTTTCATCAGGGCTATATCACTGTCGTGGCTCCTGTGGTTGTAGTTCTTGTTGTAAATGATCTTCTCCACAGCGTATCCTGTGTGCTGAGCCATTTTAGCCGAGCTGCGGGTGACAATACCGGCGTAGACTACCCAGCTGGACACCTGAGGTAGCCTGTAGCTGACATTTGAGAATAGAGGAGAGGAGGCAGAGGCTGATAAGACAGAATTGTTATGTGTCCAGTTTGGTGCAGCTGTTAATGACTGATTATTCTCCTTCATGGAGTTTGTAGCCCCAGACCTTTCAGTGCTGGTAAGGTCAGCTGTCTTACTTGTGCACACAATGGGCAGCTGTGACGACCCATTGACTGGTGATGATGGAGCCTCCACAGGTGTGTCGGTTGCTGTAATAGAGGCTGACCTGCCAGGGCCACCTGCCCAGCGTGGCCTCCACTCCCCCGATTATCCTAGGCAGCTTCGCTCGTGTCCCACACTCTGCACAGAGATCCATTCATCAAAAAGGAGTTGGATTGGTCAGAAAGTGCTGCAGCTAGAGGCATCGTTCACTCTGTCTGCCTCTGATATGAAGTCTCTGAAGTTTTATTATGGAACTACAGGGCTTGGCGTTAGATGCAAAGTCAAACAAAAAGTTAAGTTTAATTTGCTCACCAAAACATTGCAAAGCGATAACCTTCCCTGTGATACAGTTCCCCCTAAATGAAAATAAATTGTGTGACTAATGATGCATAATTAATGTGTTAGTAGCCACAATTTTCTCTGCATCATTATGAGTATGATGTCCTCACACAAATTGCCTTACCTGAATTGCCATATATTTTCCAGATCGCTCTTGTGTTCTGAGGTAATTTGTATGAAGCCATCAGTATAGTTTGGCCCGATATCAGTAAGATTCACGCCTTTATGCTTGGTCAGTCTGGTAAGAGAACATATGCAGAATGGGTGGGAGTGAGTGTTAAGATAATTCAGACTCATAAGGCGTGAGGCAAGATTGCAAATGAGGTATTAGCAAATCATAAATAAGCCGAGCCGTCAACCTTGGAAAAGCAGGGTAAGATTAAACTATAAGTTAGTGTGTGGGCTCTTCAGTCTCAATCAGTGTTAGAGGTGCTGAGGTGTTCCTGTCAGGAGTGCAAACCTTAGATAACCCAGCTGTCTGCACACCAGCGTTCCCAATGAAGAGTTCCACCTCTCGTAACACACTGGCAGCCAGGTGGGCAGCTTCCCCAGCTGGATCTCCAGGAGGGAGTTCTCCGGGCTGATCCTGTAAAACACTGAACCTGATTGATTGAAAATCCCTCTAGAGACGAGCTCAGTCAACAGTAATGAACGAGCCTCTTCTATGAGTGGGAAATGATTAGGAAAAGCACATCTATGC